TCCTTCCTTCCTTCCTTCCTTCCTTCCTTCCTTCCTTCCTTTTCTTCATCTTAAATATTAGTTTCTTTTAGTTTTTATCTTTGTTGCTTAACAATTTAATAAGGTTATTACAAAAAAAAATGTTTTAACCCTTGCCTCCTTGGCCATGGAGGTTGCATGTCTCCGTCAAGGTCATCTTCCTTTATCTCTACATACCATGCAATCCTGAAGCCATTTTTAATTTATAGATAAATTATAGGTGATTGAAAAATATTTACAAATATCTTCATCACACTTATATATTAAAGAACAGGAAGATAAGACAATTTTCACAAACATGGTATATTCTGATAGCAAGAGAAAGCTTCTTATGTGTTCTTAAGTGAGTTTTCATTTGAATACCATCTAGATTTATGGCAGGACCAATAGTGAAGTGCTTGTGGTCCTGAAGATACTGCTGAACTATAGTTCCATTACCATTGGCCTTGATAACTGATGTTGTTAGGAGTTGTACTTCAGCAACATCTAGAGGGCCACAAGTTCTCCACATCTGCATTAGACATAGTGAGGAAATCATCCGAGACGGAAAATGTTGGTGGTAGGGTTTTGAAGGTGGAAAGCTCTTAGAAGACAGAACTATATATGTACAACAGAGCCCCAAGTTTATTGTTGATTTATGTGTATGAACTGGAGACACCAGTTTGTTCTTTGTCTCATGTAAGAGACCTCAGGCTGCCTCCAACTTATAGTAATCATCTGGCAGTGAGAGTTCATATGCCTAGCCTGCTGTGTACCAGAAGTATATAAGTATGTACGTAGTTATCTTGAAAAAAGGTTGCACAGCTACATTCACAAGGTTGAATGAGTGTGATGAAGAAACAGCTCAAAATAAATCTCTCAGTTTGTGCCATAAATCAAAGGCTGTTGAAAAAACTTACTGAGGTTCTCTTGCCTTTCTCTCCTTCTCTCCCTCAGCCCATTTGCCAGGCAGCTTATAATAATGACTTCAATGAACTTCAGCTCCTATTGGAAGAAGACAGCAATAATCTGAATATCCAGGACCATTTTGGTGGAGACACACCATTAATCTGTGCATGTAAAAAGGGGCACAACAGAATTGTCAGTTACCTTCTGAAAATGAATGCTGATGTGAACATAAAAAATAAGGTGAGCAGCAGCAACTGCAACAGGACCTTTTCTTAGATTGCTAAAATCAGGATTGATGTACAAAGGGGATAGTGAAGGGATATGCTGGCTGGGGAATTCTGGGAGTTGAAGTCCACACATTTTACAGTTGCCAGGTTTGAAAAGCACTGCTTTAAAGTCAGCTCAAAGCTTTGGGGCATGTAGGTTTCTCTTCTGATTTCTGCAGGATGAGGCAGGAAATCCACACATTCAGGCAAAATGAAGGTGAGGACATCTGACAGACCCAAAACAGTATTTGCAGATTCCTAGATTAATTTTTTAAAATGGCCCCAAACTTGTGAGATAACTGATGAACAGCTGCAAAATGTAAGTTTTTGATGTTCTTAATGTGAGACCACTGAAATGTCATGAGATTTGGCAATTTGTTAAGGTTTCTGCTATGTTTTTAATTAGAAACTTGGTGAAGGGATCTACATCATCATACAGCACAATTGTTTGCTGACTGGAAATTTTTGGACTAATGAAATTTTGGGGCTAACGCATCAGAGTTGTCTAAATTCCAAGGGGGAAGGGGAAGGAGAGTATATTGAGTTCAATAATTGATAGACCTGACTTCATATCAGAGTTACTGTTTGGGATCAGCCAACTGCCAAAGCAAAGCAAAGATTAATGAATTAATCCCATGTGCTTCTGATTATCCCCCAACAATTCAGAAGAAGGGGCATTAGCATTCATTATTAACAACCTTTCCCTTTACATGTCCCTCAACTTACTTGCCTAAAATTTGCTGTAATTTGTCGTTTTCATATAAAGAAAAGTGCAACACCCATAAAAAATGGGTGAAGCTACAATTGTGACTTTTTTTTTACCATACCCTTCCCCTCCCTACCCACACTAAAATTAGAAGCCATTGAATATGCTGTGTATTTTGCCTACAGAACTTTTATGAAGCACTCACTTTTTATTTTAGTCCCCATGCTGTAGTTTCAGCAGTTTGATTTTTTATAGTTAGGGCCTATGTACATTTTGTGTTGAAAAATAGTGAAATGTGGTTAATGGGTGCCATGCACCAATAAGTTTTCTTCTCTATTGTGTGTTTCTGGAATGACCCTGCATGTTTTTAATTCTTGTAATGTGGCGGGAGAAGCATTATAAAAACAAATACAAGTTAACAAGCAAGCAAAAACTGTGCATTTCTACTTCATTTTTAACAGGTAGTGCTCTCTTTTCCCTCAGCCTGATGAAAGCAGGTTAACAGCAGATGGTGGGGGATCAAAAATGTCAAAATTGGACTCAGGGTCCATAGGGATTTGAAATAAGGTTTTGGAATGAATTATAAGGATCCTTCCCATGGGAAAATGTTTTTGTTTTGAGTTCTTAAAAAAAGAAAACATGATAGGATGGGACTTTGAAGATTGGACAACAGAGGGAACTAGAAGGAACTAAAAATTACAATTAAAGAAGAAGAATACTTAAATCTGATTTACTCATACAGAATGGAGCAAACTATTTTAACATTGGACAGAGTGAAAGATATTTTTGAACAATGGATCCAGAAGTTCATTTTAAGAGTCTCTGCCTCTATAGATAGACTGTGTTTAAGAGATGTTACAGAAGAGAAAGAAGTTTTACCGGACAAGACTGAGACTAATCTAAAAGTGGGTTTAAAA